GTTGAAATTTAACATTTTTTTTTTTTTTTTTTGAGACGGAGTTTCACTCATGTTACCCAGGCTGGAGTGCAATGGCGCGATCTCAGCTCACCGCAACCTCCGCCTCCTGGGTTCAGGCAATTCTCCTGCCTCAGCCTCCTGAGTAGCTGGGATTACAGGCACGCGCCACCATGCCCAACTAATTTTTTGTATTTTTAGTAGAGATGGGGTTTCACCATGTTGACCAGGATGGTCTCGATCTCTTGACCTCATGATCCACCAGCTTCGGCCTCCCAAAGTGCTGGGATTACAGGCTTGAGCCACCGCGCCCGGCCAGAAATTTAACTTTTTAAAAGGCAAATTCAGTGATTCGACTTTGGGATTCAACCTTGACTATGAATTTCAGGCCTCTAATATATGGAAGAAAAATGTTTCTTGACTAACTTAGAAGCTATCCTACTTCTGCTTAGCCAATACTATGTTTCTGTCTAGTCCTCAAGTGGGATAATAACATGAGACCAGGATAAACTGGCAGAGCATATGCTCTTGTTAGTCCAGTAAGAGGTCTAGCACTTGCAAATTACAACCAGTGTGGCTGAATGGCCAGAACTGAAGGTTTGGTCATTGCTACTTTTGTGGCCATCTTTCAGCTGAGCACTCAGCTCAGTTCTGCCATTAAAATACCTCAATTCCAAGAGGCTTTGACCCATGAAGTCCCTCTATTATTGAAGAGCATTGATAGAAAATATGTCTGTATTGTAGAAACTCTCTGGAGGGGAGCTTCTGGTCATTTTTCTTCCATATATTACCATTTTGCTTTCATATATTGGCCATATTAAGAACCATCTACATAAGGTCTATATCATATAAGAGAAAAACTGAAACCAAAACACCTTTCCAGAATGTATGCTTTTTTTTGTTGTACAATCTCCTCCAGATCATAAGATCATAGGTTAGCCTTATCTAGATAGTCTGTAAAGCACCTAGATTTCTAGAGTTGTTTAACTTTCCCAAGCTTCTATTGCATTCAAAATTAAAAGCTAGTTTCTCATTCATATGCTGATACTAAACTTATAAGTATGAAATGAGGTCCATGCAGATCTGAACAATCACTGTTTTCTTACTATTAAGTGTTAGTCTTAAAAGATATAACTGATTAAAATATTAATGAAATAGGAATAATGTGAATAGGAAAGAATGAACAGTGTACATACTGTTAATGCTGTTCTCCACCATCCTTCTCTTTCAAAAGTGGAAGTCTTTCGATCTGGTTTCTGTTAACAAACACAAAGTATGCTTATTCATTTGAGAGGTGATCCCTTGAAATTAAATATAATTTATAAAACATTTGCTTGAAGAAATTAATACCCATACCCAACTGATAAGCCTTTATTAAAATAAAAGCTACATAATGATACATTTTGCCCGTATTTCCTTAAATTGCTTTTTTATGATCTTAAGTGCTTTCAAATAACTAAATTCCCTTTGTTAAAATGAGAGTAATTTTCCTACTGACTAGTGGTGGTAAAAAAAATTATAATAATAAAAATAAAAGATAAAAAGATAAAATTAGAGTAATAAACATCCCCATCTCACAGAGATGTTGTAAGTATATTAGATGTGACAAAATTTGGTGTTCTTAGGAAGAAAAGAGTTGGGCTTGAAGCCAGACAGACTTACGCTGGAACCCAGCTCTGCTGCTTACCAGCTAGGTACACTGAGTGAGCTATTCAACCCTCATGCTTCCTCATAGGAGTATAAAAATAAGGCGCTATCAGAGTTGGCATGAAAATAAAGCATTGTATGTCAGGCATGGTGGCTCACACCTGGAATCCCAGCACTTTGGGAGGCCAAGTTGGGTGGATCACTTGAGCCCAAGAGTTTGAGACCAGCCTGGCCAACATGATGAAACCCTGTCTCTACTAAAAATACAGAAAAATTGGCCAGGCATAGTGGCACACACCTGTAATCCCTACACAGGAAGCTGTAATCCCTGCTCAGGAGGCTGAGGCACGAGAATTGCTTTAACTCAGCAGGTGGAGATTGTAGTGCACCGAGATGGCGCCACCGCACTCCAGCCTGGGTGACAAAGTAAGAAGCCACCTCAAGGAGAAAATAAGAAGACATTGTACATATAAAGATTTGCATCTACAATCAGTGCTCAATAAATGGTAGCTTTAATTATTTTTTTGAGATGGAGTTTTGCTCTTATTACCCAGGCTAGAGTGCAATTGTGCAATCTTGGCTCACTGCAACCTTTGCCTCCTGGGTTCAAGCGATTCTCCTGCCTCAGCCTCCCGAGTAGCTGGGATTATAGGCAGCTACCACCACGCCCACTAATTTTGTATTTTTATTAGAGACAGGGTTTCTCCATGTTGGTCGGGCTGGTCTTGAACTCCTGACCTCAGGTGATCTGCCCGCCTCGAATTCCTAAAGTGCTGGGATTACAGACATGAGCCACGGCACCCTGCCAGTAGCTTAATTTTTAACATCTCATCTGCCAAGTTAAGAAGCAAATTATTTTGGTATTCTTCAGTTTCCAAGGAATCTCTTGTCTTCATATTTAGTACTCTATACCCATCTATCCATTATTCTTTCTTTTTTTTTTTTTTTTTAAAGACGGGGTTTCACCATTTTGGCCAGGCTTGTCTCGAACTCCTGACCTTGTAATCCTCCCACCTCAGCCTCCCAAAGTGTGTGGATTACAGGTGTGAGCCACCGTGCCCGGCCCCATTATTATTTCATATTTATTTTAGCACACTGTCCATAAAACACAAGGGTTTAATATTTTCCTTTTGTTTGTCCTAGGTAAAACCATTAAAATGTTGAGTTCTACTTTCCTTTATAAGGCCTTTATTATTATAAAATATAGGTCATCAAGCAAGACTGCAATAAATGTAATAATCTAATCAGTAAAACTGATATAATTCATTCTTCCTGTCTAGTAACTTAAATCTACTTAGAAGTACTACTGGGCTTTATTTTACTATGAAATATGTGCATTTCTTTAAATAACATTGTCTCATGCACTGTGCTAAAGCTGAGCTTCTTCCTTGATGCTTCATCGTGAGATTTATGTTGAATCTTCTCTGTTGCACATTTATAGTCACACAAATAAAACCTTCTTAGGCAGGTCAACACAGGCCTCCCACCCCTACCCCAGAAAAAGGAAAATGAGATAGGAAGGAGAAGTAAACAAGATCAATCTAATGGAAGACAACTGGCAGCTGCTGTTTTGTTTGGCCCAAGACAGGTGATCTAAACTCCACCTATCTACTATTTTAAATTCACTCTAAGGGGAAAGATAAAAGATTAGGCTAAGCAGCCCTCACCCACATTTATTTTAAAACGTAACAAAGGCCAGGCATGGCGGCGCATGCCTGTAATCCCAGCTACTCGGGAGGCTGAGGCAAGAGAATCCCTTGAACCCGGGAGGCGGAGGTTGCGGTGAGCAGAGGTCACGCCACTGCACTTCCAGCCTGGGTAACAGAGCGAGATTCTAAAAGAAAACTGTAGCAAAGGTAGCTTAAAATATTTTTATAAATACTAAAGTAACAGGTGGAGCAAAACGTGTCTAGTAAGACTACGGAAGGAAAAGCCCAGGCTTCCGGCAGATGGAGGGGAAAGGGCAAGAAATCCAATCACCATACTAAAGCAGTTGCCCAGTTTACTTCGTAATGGGAAGGGAAAAATACCGAAAACAAAGGGCGAAGGGGAAGGATAAGGGAAGCAGCAAGGGGAAAAGAAATAAAGCAAACGAAATATCCGATAAAGACCAGGAGGGAAGGTCCACAGGTGGAGACTTACGTGAGGGCAGAGAGAAAGGTAGGAAGAGGGAACCGGAGGGGCACGAAGGCCTGGGATTAGAGAGTGGTGGAAAAAGGGCAGCGGGCCTGGTGAGGGAGCAGGAACCAGGCCAGGAAGGGGAAGACGATCTTACCGAGGCTGTACAACGCACCAGGTCTTCTCTTATTGTGGTGGAGGCGATGGCGATGGCTGACTGATCCATGGTGGCCTCCTCTCTCCCTAGGCTGAGCCTGGCGTCCGGTTGTTAGGAGGCGCGTGTGGCCCGCGGGCTCTGGAGCGCGGAGCCGAGACCCGCCAGGTTTGTCTCTAGTGTTGGGGGAAGGGAAGCAGGCTCGCACTTCGAGGCCCCGCGCGAAGACCAGCCCAGAGGAAAACCCTCAAAAAGAGACAGTTATGAATGCATGTGAGAAGAAAATCTAGAGGGCTCTGGAGTTGCCAGAGAGCCCTCGGTAAGGATCTGCGAAAGGGGAGGCTGGTTAAGAGCTTGAGCGTACCCACAATCTCCATCAATTCCCTTCTAATCCACCCCACATCCCACACCCCAGGCAGAGAGGCAGTGTGCTTGGTAGACATACTTACAGAAATCTGCCTTAGCACCCACTTTCTAAGATTGTTTCTAAGCTCCTCCAAACAGAAATTCTGGGGCTGACTTCTCTTGCCTCTGACTTGCAGAGTGGAGTGAGCACCAGTCACAGCAGGTTTCACGAGCTGTGAAATCACAGACCACCCCATTCTTCTCAGTGTAGACCCTTTTTACTGTCAGCCTCTTTAGGCTGTAGCTTCTTCTCAACCTTTAAACAAACCTTTAAACAAACCCTCCACAACCTTAATTTCATTTTATACAGTATCTACTCTATTCCAGGGACTTCACACACAATTAGTCTCATTTAATCTTCACACCAACCCTACAAAGTAGGTATTAGTCCCGTTTTCTGGATGACGAAACAAAGGTTTCCTTGGATGTTTAACACAGTTCCCTCAGCATCACACACAAGTGGCATTGTCAGAATTAAAATCCAAACCTGACTCTAGACCTCCACTGCCCTGTACCATGAAGCTTCTGCTTCCCTTTACAAACTTTCAAGAGTCATATGGACTCAATTCTTTTCTCATTTCCCATATACTTTCCTAAAACCATCTTAATCAGGCCTGCGCACAGCTTTCAATTAAAATTGCACTTAAACTCACCAGTGATCCAACTGCCAAATCGAATGGGGATTTTCAGCTCTTATCAAACTTGGCCTTCAATTTTCATTGCTGCATTGATTATTCCCCCATTCTTGAATCACTCTCCTCCCTTGACTACCAGGACTTTGGACGCTGGTTGCATATGCTGACTTATTCTGTGCCTGTTTTCTCATCTATAGAGAAGGGGATAATAAAATTGGTACCCACCCACATAGGTTATAAAGATTAACTTGAAATTCAGAACCATGTCTGGCACAATGCAGTCAGTAAGTGTGAGCTGTCACTACCTTTAGGACAAAAGCAACATTTACAATCCAATCTCTCACCTCTGGAGTGCAGTGGCACAATCTTGGCTCACTGCAACCTCTGCCTCCTGGGTTCAAGCGATTCTTCTGCCTCAGCTTCCGAAGTAGCTGTGACTACAGGTGTGCACCATCACGCCTAATTTTGTATTTTTAGTAGAGATGGGGGTTTCACCATATTGGCCAGGCTGGTCTCGAACTCCTGACCTCATGATCTGCCTGCCTCGGCCTCCCAAGGTATTGGGATTGCACGTGTGAGCCACCACGCCCTGCCACTTCTCTCCCTTATTAAAATGGCATGCTCTGCTGTATCATACTTGCAAAAACCCCAAACATGCCATCTTCACATTTCTGTCTCCACATATGTTAGCCCTTCTGCGTGAAATGCTATTCCTTTCTTTGACCACCTGGAAAATCTCAAGAGTCAACTCCTCTGAGTAGACCTTTAAGCCTAATCCACCAAGTCCCAAAGGACCCTGTGCCTATCATTGCTGGAAGATTCATGTTATGACAAATTGTTTCTCCTGTAATTTTAAACATACCCAAAACACAGGGTTGTTTTTTAATTGAGCCCTTTTAACACAAGGACTAAAATACTTGCTGAATAAACCACTGACTGGTTTTCCCCTCTAATTAAACCAGAGAAGATTACAACAGTGCTTTACAAAAATTAAAATGCATACAAAACATCTGATGATCTTGTTAAAAAGCAGATTGATTCAAATTCTGAGCCAGGGCCTAAGATTCTGCGTTTCCAAGTTCCTGGGTGATTCTGTGAGTTACTTTTTGAGGAGCAAGAGACTGAAGGACTTCATCTAGTTTCTTAAAATACTGGGATTCTAAATTCATTTAACATAGCCTTAAACAAATAAACAAACAAAACCCAGGCACTAGGTTTAAAATGAACAACTGAAATTCGAAAGTGAAGAGGCAAGTAAATACCAAAGTTCTCACAAATGTTAAGAGATTAATCAAGTCCATTCCCTGTGCCTCATTTCATTTTCTTATTTTGGCTGAGCCTGTAAAACTGGCTCAGCAGTCTAGGGACTGGTACCCTAGAGACTAAAAGAATATGAAAAGTACAGAGAAGTCCAGAAACCCATACAAGGTGTGACATTAGAGATGGGAACATCTAGATGAGAAAATAGTTTAAGTATCTCAAAAATAGAAACATGGGTCAATGACTTCAAGGACTATCCATAAAGCAGATTAAGCATGTAGGATAAACAAAATGTTCTTTTAAGAAAACATTGTCTTATATAGTATCACTAAGATTTATTTCCAGATTATCATAAGGTTCAAAGAGGGGGAGAAGCATTTCTCGTGAGAATACAAATCTATAATAGAGCTCAACAGTGCGTCTGTTATATATCAGATCTTTAAAATTATTGTCTTCTAAAAATTTTAGGAAAATACCTTACACCAAAGGTGATATTTAACTGCAATAGCGATGTTTATTGGGAGAGTCGTCTGGGAGCAAACAAGCCATAAACAGTATATGGTTGGTACAGTTTCCACAATCCTACTTATATAGCACTAATAGTTTGGTTAAGACTTGACGGTGGGGCCAGGCACGGTGGCTGACACCTGTAATCTCAGCACTTTGGGAGGCCGAGGTGGGCAGATCACAAGGTCAGGAGTTCGAGACAAGCCTGGCCAACATTGTGAAACCCCATCTCTACTAAAAATACAAAAAAATTAACCAGGCTTGGTGTAATCCCACTACCTTTAATCCCAGCTACTTGGGAGGCTGAGGCAGAATTGCTTGAACCAGGACACAGAGGTTGCGGTGATTGAAGATCACGCTACTGCACTCCAGCCGAGTCAACAGTGCCACAACTCCGTCTTGAAAAAAAAAGATGTTGAAGGTGATATCACAGTCCTGGGCTCAAATATGATTATGTTGTAGGAAGCAATGGAACTGAAATTTGAACCCAGTTCATTATGACCAGTTAAATTATATAATTGTTACACACTTGTTTCCTGTAAAATCAAGATGCCAAGACTTTGTGACTTTTGTAAAGATTTCAGTAGAAATTATGACCAATTATGACATACCAAGAGCCCAAAAGTTTCTCCTTCTACCTTTGTTGTCCTTGAATAAACCTCATTGTCAATACTGGAAAAACACCAATCAACTGCCCAATTCCCTCATTTTTCAGGGTCATAACTGGTTTCATAGCATAGTTAACTGAGCACTTAATGCAAATGCGGAAGACAATGCTAAATGCCTTACTTTCATTATTTCACTTAACTTTTTACAGAAGTCCTGCTCCTAATCCCAGCACTTTGGGAAGCTGAGTAAGAGGATCACTTGAGCCCAGGAGTTCAAGACCAACCTGGGTAACACAGTGAGTCCCCATCTCTACAAAAAAACAAACCTTGATTTCCTTTTGACAAAACTTACTACATCCAATTAAGGGGAGTAGAATGCACCCTAAAATTTTCCTATTTAAGTCAGTATGTGATACCATTAGGATTATCAACACCTGTAATTTCCCTTGCTCTAAAACATACTAACCACTCTTCCTTCACTAACCATCCAGTTTTCTAATAGAATAATAGTATTAAAATAGTCAAAGATGGGGGGGCAGTAACCTGCCAAATAATGAATTACTCCTGGAATATTGAAGACCTTGTGGCTATAATAACCAGGTAACAATCAAATGTTTTAATCTTGGCTCTGCTTTGCTATGGAATCTTCCATTAAGTATTTAAAACGTAGTTTAAAAAAACAAAAACCCTGATAACCACCTTTGGAGTAGCTCAAATTATAGAGAAAGCTATCATGATAGAAGCCAGCAAAAGCTAAAACAAGGTGTAGTCACTGCCAATTTACTCCTAAGGACATCTTTTTTGTAAAATGTTGCAGATAGGCAAGCTAAAATTCTCGTCTTATAAAAAAAAAGCATAGTGAATATTAGCTAATAGAACTATAGGATGCTCACCCCAACTAAAGTGTTTTTTTTTTTTTTTAACATGCAAACATTTAAAACATCATTGCACAGCCTAAGTTAACATGGACAAATGCCAAAGTGGAAAAATATAAAGGTAGGAAACAGTAAATACCTAACTTTATGCCAATTCCCATGCTAGGTTCACTTAAGTTTTTGAGTTTTTCATTTAAACCTTTTGAAGGAAGTGGTCATGTAAACACAATCTGGATAAAAAACAAAACAGAAAACTTGCCCCTATTTTCCCATAATTGCCACCATCTTGTTCTGTGGGCACAGAGGGAACCCACAGGCATTCTGGGCTTAACACAGTAGCACAATATGACAGGCACGGTGGTGGTGGATCTTGTGGGCATGCATGATAGCAGCCCCCAAAAGGCAACCACATTGAGACAGCCCCACAGATCCCCATCTTTTTGGTTTTTCTCCTCAGTCTCTGTTACACCCCTTATTTTGTTCCTCTTTTCTGTACTTCTCTCCCTTTTCCAATCCTTTTCTTCTTCCTTTCCCACCTTCACTATTTCTGCCACCCATCTCTATTGCTCTTCCCCACACAAGAAAAATTATCTGTATTATACCAAGCAGAAACCAACACCATTATTTTATTTTCAAAATCATTAGACTTCAACAGTTAAATGACTCAGATGCAGAGCAACCATTGGGTAAGTTGTAATTTTTTTATTGGAAAACAAATATACAACTTGGAATGGATTTGAGGCAAATTGTGCCATAAGCAGATTTTCTTTAAGTGGCTAAAACAAAGTTTAAAAAGCAAGTAACAATAAAAGAAAATGTTTCTGGTACAGGACCAGCAGTACAAAAAAATAGTGTACGAGTACCTGGATAATACACCCGTTTTGCAATAGTGCAACTTTTAAGTACATATTGTTGACTGTCCATAGTCCACGCAGAGTTACAACTCCACACTTCAACAACAACATGCTGACAGTTCCTAAAGAAAACTACTTTAAAAAAAGGCATAACCCAGATGTTCCCTCATTTGACCAACTCCATCTAACTTTAGATGTGCAGAAGGGCTTAGATATATCCAGAGTAAGCCACATGCAACATGTTACTTGATCAATTTTCTAAAATAAGGTTTCAGGACAACGACAGTAAGATAAGGGAAGAAAACATGGAGGAATGAAGTCCTAATTACTATACATGCATATTTTTTTTGACAGTAGGGAGAAACCTTTTACAGATAAGTTACAAACAAAGAAAAGGCAAATAAACAATTTTGTACAAGAAATTTAACACATTCTGTACAAGGTCTTCACTTTGCTGTCATCATTTGTACAAACTCTGAAAAAGAAGAAGTACATAAAAAAATTTGAGTCAATAGCAAAAGACTGATTAAAAAAAAAATCACATTTACTCAATCACTGAATATTCTTTCCATTCCTCTTTCTCCTTCCTCAGAATTAAGTACAGAGGAAAGCTGGTTTATTGCCCAGGCTGGAACTTCATTAACCTAACTATTCAGGATTATTAAAAAGAGCCGAATTAATGCTTTAAATAAGCTAATATAAAAAACGTGTTCTTGGCTCTTAGTTTATACTTGAATACTGCTGGGTTACAAGTCAATATTGTAAATTCAGTGCTATGGATTAGGTTTAATTTTTATAATATTGAATTTTATGCTGTTTTCTAAGTAGTGACATCATGAAAAAATAGTTTTACTGAAAATCCTTCCATTTCTAAATGCCTTTCTTCATGATATGGCTATCTCAAAGTTAACAGTCAGATATGATACTTTTGAAGCACATGTAAACTTTAGTTTCAGACTAAAGCCAATTAGAGAAAAAAGATAATACAGTGGGGAAAAAGAAAGTCACATTAATTTCATTTTGGGAAATTCGGAATAAATGTGCTTTCCACATTGTTCCACAATCCGAAATGAAAATTGTACAGTGCTTCTCACTTTACATATAAATCACTCAAGAATCTTAAAATGCTGATTCCAGGTGTAGGGGTAGAACCTGATGGGTAAATATTTCTAAATTAAGTTCTCAGGTGAGAGCAATGTTGCCTAGTCTACAGACAAAACAATGAATTAACAAAATGTTAAATATAAGTAACTGTTTTAGCATCCTAATTGGGGGGGGGGGAAGTGTCACTAATTCTGATCAGATACCTAACAAGCACCTCTAACTTAAAAAAGTGAA